TCAAACAAATGAATTCATTCACAAGTAAAGTATGTGAAATTCTGTACAATTCTGTACAACATGTGGTATGCTCTATATTTTGCACAAATCATGGCCAGGTGAGTCACATCTCCCTCAACACTTGTCAAATCTCCTCTTGCTCTGCCAATCATGTTTGATCAATAGCTGGAATAAGGTACAACCTTTGTATGTAATAGTATGTCCTATGTGAAAAATACCAAACCCCAATGTGCTTGAAAAAAATGATAACCATTGCTGGATTACTTCCAGTGAGCAGTTTTGATGCTGTTAAAAGCATATTCCCTCAAGACATAAGGCCATGATGTGATGTCCATTAATACATACAGTCATATGACCTCCAATGTGATCATAGTACCACTCTCCTTTCAGTGATAGATGGCTAAGCTTCTTTCTGGCATACATGGCAACTTTTGAATATTTCTAATAAGCAGCTCTGGAATACAATAAACTTTTCTCCGAATAGACATGATTCAGTGTTTCCATGTGAGGTCTTCATCTAGACCATAGTTAGACCTAAGGATATAAAATATTGTCCATTGTTTTTGTTTTAAATAAAATGTTAAATAGACTAAACACTTAAAGTGGTTCTTACATAATACATAGCACTATTATAACTAGTCTTTGTCGTCATAATTGTAATAATTTTCGACGTCGTCATATCTTTTTGAATGTCGATGTGGCCTTTCATTGTCAGTTTTAACAATATTGTCATTCAATGTTACAAGCCACGGCTTTGGGTGTTCAACTATGCTTTGCTTTATGAATTTCAAGATTTTAGTTACAAGAGAAAAAGGAAATACTATCTATGAGTAAACTCTTACGTGTATTTCGAATTGCTTTCGAAATTGTTTTCAAAGCTTTCTCTACAAACTCGATAAGTTATGAATCTTCAGTGTTGATCACTCAAACAAAATTGCTGGCTATCAAAATCTACAATCTTACCATTTTTGTTAGTTGTTTTTTCGACAGTAGATGATTCGACGGTTGAAGTATGGGCATCTGCTTTCCCCACAATAAGAATGTCGACTTCTTCTTCGTTTTATAGCATTAAAATTCTTGCCGAACACGGCCTGTGTTCTGGTGGCGGGAAGTGTACCGTCGAAACACCAGCACCATCTGTGACGTCATTGGAGGCGTCTCCGACTAACTTCCGATTAATTACCGAAAATGAACGACCGGTCAACGGAAATACAACACTTTTCAATCCCTGATATCTCGAAAAATAAAAATCTTCCAGTTTTCTCGCTTCGCGTATGTATTGAACATAGCAAGAACTTCTTTTTCCAAGTGTTAAAAAGTCATCGAATTTTCCGTTGCATTTGAACTTTAATTATATTTTTTTCGGGAGGTTATCATGCAATATTGCTAGAATCATTTTGGCACTGTAAATCGTTCAGTGGTTACTTACTTGCAAATGTTTTAATCTCATTKATGTCCAATGCTCTTTTATAGACAAACAATCGGCTGAGGTATCCATACAAACTTTTCTTCTTTCGAAATTCAAAATTCATCTTGTTTGTGATACTGGCAATTGTCGTGAATGTCCAAGATCTCTCTGTCAGACCGACAACGAAATGACACTGACGAGTGGAGACATTTACACTCAGGCCAACGTGCTGCCAAACATCATAGTCCATGCTGACGTATAAACAAATTGATAAGCGGTTAGAGACACTACATCAATAATTAATAAGACTAAAACAACCTAATCTTAAAAATAGTTAGCATTCCCAAAAAAATGGAAGAGGAAAAGGCGATATCATGTTCTGTAATGGTAAGTGGAATAAATAGCACACGTCAATTTTTGTGGCTAGTGTCTGGGGACGAGATACAAGCAACTCTGYTGTCGCTTTGTAGTYCGGCTGTAACTCGGGATAACTTTCTAANGGGTATTTAGAAGTGGTAGTGTCTTTGTCCGTTGTAAAATTGTCTCTGTGGTTCTGTGAAAGGTATGCATATTTCGTGTGGAGTCACGTCGATACTGCATGACCCATACTGCTTAGAGCGTCTGGAAATTCGTTCCACGTATGTCGCATAACATTCCACTGTTGGACAGTTGGCCAGGATACCATTCTTGGAAAGTGCCTCAACAACACCAGAATTCCTTGATAAAGTAACGCCTGTATGATCTGAGGGCTGACGTCAAATAGTAGCGCAAGACTGTCAAGGTGAGGATATCTACGAATCCATATAAGAACAAGTAAAATTCTGTTCACCATGTTCAATTTATATCTACCGATGTGTCGACTAAGTTGCCCACGCCTATTCAATAAAGCTAAATAAGGACCTACATGATATACTGTATTTAAGACAGATTCAGGAGTCTCCCCAGTGTTTAACCAGAATAAGTATCTTTGTTGGTAGATCATATATCAAAAAAGTATCGCGCCCTTGGAAGTCGTGACCATAAAAATCAGGAAAAAGGCTATATCTTAGTATCAAATTTGTAGCATTAAAGGAGGCATGCATGGTTGTTAGYAGATGGATAAGCTGGAACAAAATGTTGACCAATATAAATAGAGTGTGATGGTTCTCTTCAGGCATCACCAGTGTACGTGGTGTAACCGTGTAACAAAACTAACAAAGGCATCATAGTTGAAATGGATGCATGAACCAAACGTAGCTGTCTAATATTCATGTTTACCATTTATGTCCCGCGAGATTGTTATTCCGGATTGAAGTTTGGTTTTCATAGTTTAAGTTTTGGGCGTTACCGGTTTGCATAAGGTGTTGATTATTTAGTGTTTATTTCTGTGAATTGAGGCTCAAATTATCTACATGAAGTGATTTCTATTGTTTCCAGTTTCGTGCAATAGACTCGATAATTTTTAGAACAGGCGTTCTACACGAAAATAATTGAATTAAAACAATTAAATTGTGACAAGGGCGGACCTTAACTGCATGTTCACACGCCGAAAACGATAAAGTCTACTGGAAAAGCATATTTTTAAAAACAATCATGTCGAAAACAATTGCGGGCATGCGATATACACAAAAATATGCGATTACGAATATTTTTGTGTTTGGTTTTTAAAGCATTGTAGTGGTGTCAAAGATCCCTGAAACTCTTTAAGGGACACTGAAATAACCAACACATTTTTGTCATATTTTGCAAGTATTGGTGATAATTGCATATACTATAAAAGCCAGCACGGAATCCTTCATCATCCTCTTTGAGGTCAATGACAACCGTCCCACAGCTGAAATCGTAGGTGCCTCGCCATAGAGAAAACTTCAGAAGATCAAAGTAGGGGAGCACGAAAGCAATTTGGTTATGACAGTAAACCTAAACGTTTCATATAAAGGTTTGCAAGCTGTGCTAAATCAAGTAAGAATAAAAATACAAACCGCAGTGCCATTAAACTCGCGGCCGATTGTCAGATATGAGCTAGCCGCACAATGAAACGGATAATAAGTGAAGCTCCAAAGAAGAAGGCCAAGGTGTATAAGTCGTCTTTGAACCTGCAACGATCCTCAAAAAGGGCCAGAAAGCCGTCTACAATTACCTGACAGTACGGTCAAGGTGTACAGTACAAAAAAA